AAACGATTTGCGTGCATTTACTAGTTGTAAGGAATTATCCATTTTCAATAAAAATTTAAATTTCCTTAGTGACGCCGCTGCATGTGAGCACTCTTAGATAATTGGCTAGAACATGTTAAAAATCTTTTGGCACTGGTGATATAATGAATTTTTCGAAACTAGTTTCAGAATGTTCAACATTGTGCAACTGGTTGCGTAAAATAGATCATTTTGACACTTGCTGCGATTATAAAAAATGTCACTTTATATGTCAAAATTAGAAAAAATAATATTGGAGGCATTTCAAACAAATACGGTGTTATTTAAAAATATATTGCCAAATATTTTTAAATTTTAATAAATGTTAGAGGGTGTAATAAAAGTAACTATTTATTGTGTATATAGGCGGCAAGGTGTGCCTAGCAAGAGGGACAAGCGCCCCCCTGGCCCCCACCTGCCTACGCCATGGTTACTACCTAACCACTCCACAAAAAAACAGAGAATTAGTTCAAGATTCCAAAGCTGGACCTTCGATCCTCAGGAAAAAAAAATAGAGGTATATCTTCTTGTTTTTTCTTTAATCACCAGCGGATTTCATTATCAGATGGGAAGAAAACAGTTTTATTTTTATGCAGTGTCATTTATTAGTTTATTACTTTATTATTGTCATTTATGGATAATCTACATAAAAAGTAGTTAGTAATAATTAAATAATTTAGCAACTTTAGAATTTTACTGACCAAGAGTAAAAATATTTATTTAAATTTTTGCAAAATCAGATTAAATTAAGGGTGGCAGTTAATAAATCCATAAAACATTGGAAAGATGACGAAAATTTGTTTCACAAAAAAACAAAAGTTTGAAGAGGGATATAAACAACTCATTAAGTCACGTGTTTGGGGAACACAACGAATGTAAATCTGTAGGATACTTCAAGCCAACAGAAACTACCATGAAAGATTTACAATTGACAGACAAGTAATCAGAAATTTTTAAATTTATTTATCATCTTATCATTTTTGTTTAGTTTCAGAACTTTAAGAAAAGTTGTCCGGTTATAAAAATTACCTTATTCGACACTCTTCTAATCTTTTATATATGACGTCGACATCAAGATTGTGAAGCAATTCAGTTCTATAATAGCGAAATTTATAGGAGGCAAAAGAATTAATTATTCCAAAATAAGTTCTTATCAAAGTAGATGTGCAGCAGCCGTTGTGAGCTAGAATACAAACAGACCTATTTACACCATAAAAAATATTTTAATAATGGTACAACTTCTACTAAGATTTCATCAAAACTTCAACTGAGGTAAACTGAGAAAAATAGAAGAGCTAAGCCACGAGTTTGTCGAAAGTAAAATTTGCACAAAAAAAATTAACGGATGCATGTGAAAGTTACGATCAGAAATGTGAAAAGCCTGACATGACTGGCTCAAAATATTTACAAGCTAAAACTAAATTTCTAGAAGAAATTAAGAAGTAATGAAGAAATCTCAAAAATAGAAAGCTTAACACGGGAGCAGGTAGATTGCGATATTTGGATTTTGGAAAGAAGAAAACGTCTGACTGCTTCTATGTTTGAATCAGTATGTAAAAGAGGTTCGACTGCTAGTTATAAGTCGCTAGTAGAAGCTATCTTGCACCCAAAGGTATTTTTCTCAGTGGCTTGCGAATATGGAAAAAAAATTAAAAAAATAGCAATAGAGCAATTACAAAAAAAATTAGCAAACCGATTAGAAAATGTGGTCGTTTCATAGATGAGAAAAGTTCCTTTTTGGTCGCTACTCCGGATGGCCTAATAGATGATAGAGGCATTGTCGAAATTAAATGCCCAAATTCAGCACGGAATATGACGCCAGAAAATTTTTTAGTCCCTCCAAAAAGTAAAACATGATCACATCTATTAGTTTTGTTGTTAATAGATTTCAGTGCGGACGGCGCCACATTACAGTTAGAAAAATTATCACTTAGGTATTCTGCTAGTCTTTTGGTAGCCCTAAAATAACAAAAATATATGTAGAGTAATTTATAGCCACTAATTTTACTTACATGACCAGACACGTTGCGGCATGGTATACCGCAATTTTACAGTTCTCACTTCTGCAGTTAGTACAAAACTAACCAAACACCTGCAAGTATCGCGGTACATGGGCCTAAGATAGACACTGGCGCATATTTAGATGAACAGTGACGTGTATCAAAGAAAAGTAATAAAATCTGGACTAAAACTAAAAATGCGACATGAAGTTCCGATGCGCGACCGTCGGAGGGTTAAAAGTATCTGCACCTTTGCATTACACTTTTACGTCATGTGTCAAACTCGAGCAAGTGGAACTAGTCAGTTTTGATAAGAATAAATATCATTTTTTTAATAGCTTCATTTAAATAATATAAAAAACATTTTCATTTCATGAATTTTCAAATATAAAATTATTGTCTTCAAATAAATCAAAGAACAACTCTAAGTCGCCATTTTGATTACACTCAAAGTACATTTTTACTTCATTCTATATCGATGCTACTTTGCCTCTATTTCTACCGACTACCTATTGGTTGTTTATATTTCTCAACTTTCTCCTAGGCTCTTCTTCCTTACTATTCTGGTTCTCTATACTCTGCTATTCTCAATTCTCAATAATAAACACCATATGAAATGGTAAAACTGTGGTACTCCAAAGTTATATCAAGTGTATTGAGACTAAGATTCATTTGGAGAAGAAAACCAAGAGCAAATAAATACTGTAGAGCGGAGGGACTAGGGACATTTAGATATTTAGAGGCTATTGGCGATGTTATTAGCCAACAGGACTTTGACGACCTGAGAGACTAGCTCTCCCTGAATACATTTCAGCGACTTGAAAACCAGCAGCCTTTTTGACAAGAAGCTGGAAATCAGGTCATTTATGCCCCTAGATGACGAATGAGACTAATGATGCCTAATGCTGTGGGTCTACCCACCCTCCTCTATTTTAAAGAAAGCAACGGAAATATGGAGTATCTACTTGTAAGATTGTGAAGTATAATAGAAAATACGAAACCAAACGCTTTAATAAACAAGCGATAGCACAATATGTGTAAATCTCGAGGTAGAAGATGATTCTCTGTCGTTGTGCCAGTAATTCTAAGCAAGAATCAGAGAGAGACGCAACAAAATTAGTCTTATTTGGTCAAGCATTTAGAATTCGACACAATAAATGCCTAAACCATTTGCTAAAGATGTTCGTTTTCAGAATACTTCATGTTAATGAGCTGTGAGCATTAGTGCCAGTGTAGTTCTAACTGAGCTCACGATGATTCTCATAGCATCAAAAAAAATCACTAGAATAATATCACTGGAAAAAATATGATCATCTATACAAATATTAGACAAGCACTACTCATCCTGGACAGACCACGAATTTATTTATTGGTAGTACTAGAATATCACAAAGTTTTGACTGAAGTATCCATCAACAATGTGATCAATTTAAGATAGATCAAAAGTCATGTCACATCGAAAGATAATCGTCTTTCTGATTCACTTGCCAAGAAGGCAGCCAACCAAACATTTTTTGTACCTGGCCCCTCTATTGGACTGACAAACCTAATAAAAGAACATTTACCTGCGAAATTCAAGGAAAGATGGGATGAAACAAGAAGCTGCAGACTTGCCAGAGAGCTTTTAAGTTATCTTGACAATACTAGAGCAAACAAATACTTGACTATGACTAGATAGAATCTGCGCTTGATCACATGCATTCTGACTGGACATTGCCAACTACGAAAGCATGTCCATATCATGGGGCTGGCAACATCCACACTGTGAAGGTGATGCAAACAAAAAGATGAGACCATCGAGCATATCCTCTACGAATGCCCGACTCTCTCATTTATTAGAAGATTTGTGTTTGGCGAAAATTGGCACCAGCCGATATAAGAAAAGCACCTCTTGGAGGTGTTGTCAACTACATTAAATCTGTAGAAATACTTATTATTACTTAAGCTCGATCCATATTACCAGGCCGTACGTTTGTCGCAATGTTGCATGTACTTCTAGAAATGAGAGCAACTAGTCTATGAAAAGAACTACGAAACTGCGATTATAAGAATTCAAACAAAAATAGAACTTTGCCACGCATTCAAAATATTTGGCAATCAATTATTAAGATCTGGTAATATTCTGCTTGAGTTATTATATTAATAATATCTTTACTAAAAGTAAAAAGGGCAATCATAAATTTACAGAAACTGAGTTTTGTCATGTAAATTACATATACTCGTATTATTGCAAATAAAGTAAAAATATGATATGAATTTCCCAACAACCCCGCGGTCTTTAAGCATTAACGGTTAGGAGGAGCAAAGTAGATTAGAAATTTTTCGACACCATGATTCACTGATGAATTCGATGGGAAATCCCTTACTTCTACCTAAAATATCTAAACGACAAAAGTACTACAATACAAAAGTACTACAATACAAAAGAGTTCAATGTCTTTATAAATATATCATTAGTACGAGTTAAAGTGAACACATGGCCAACTAGAAGATGATTTTAGTACAAATATTGTTTGCCATTGTGTTTCTAGCGATTTATTTTACCTATATAAAAATATTTCTGTCAAAATTCACCCCATTTCAAATCACTCAATCAATAACAATACTCTTGTTTTCGGAACAACCAGTCGTCATTGTATTTTTCTTTCAACACATGAAAACGTTTCGCTAACAATTCACGGTTTGGAGTATCCACCAGTGTTTACTCGTTTTTATTGATTATTAAACAATAAATTTGAGTATTTCTTTCAGTTACTATTTGCTTTTATTTTATCCCCCATTACTAATGATTGTTTAGGGTGAAATAATACTGACAAACGAGTTGGCAACATTCGCGTTTTTCATTTAGAGTGGACGGTAGAAACAATCGCAGCAGAAATAGCAAGTGGGTATATTAAAAATTGAGACAATACCAACAATTAAAATAAATTAAATGAAATAACAATAATATTAAAGAAAATATTGTTAATCAATTAAACTTACCTAAGGTTGCAGCAGCCATTCTCATCGTCACTGGCATTTCTCCACAAGCCGTATCTTCTTCTGCAATAACTCTCTTTTTCCTCGGTCGTCCTTTAGTATGTTGTGGAGGTGTACTCGATGAGAAGTAGCCTGGTGAACCACCGCCATTATACATCATGTCCATAGGGTCATGGGAATCACAGAAGTCTATTAGTTCATAATGCGGTCTATTAAAAAATATTTGATTAGTAGTTATTTGTGTATTAAGCGCGGAAAGTGGTACCATCCAATTGGTACAGAAAGACAGAAATTTGTTAAAAGCGACAACTAACTTTTCACTAGAGTTACACATAATATTTTTGCAACGACCACATTATTTTAAAAAATTGATGTTTTAAAATATGAAAAACCAGTTATATAATACTGAAAGTCAATTTTAAATACATAATATAATAAAAAGTTTATTAATAGACAAAACCTTTAACGATTTAATGACAACATACTTATAAATAATCAAGTTGAACATTATTATAAATAGCTATTTACTATAAAAAATAGTATAGTGTATCGTGTATAATGGGGGTTGGTGAAGATTATGGTAAATATGAGAATTGTTGGCAAATAATCAAAGAAGGTTACAAAACTGTTATTGATAAAAATTATCAGGGTTTGTAGGTTTGAAATAGAAGGAAATAGAGTTGCATACAGAAAATCAACTCGATGTCCTTCCCTTTGATATTTGTAAGACACCACTTGAAACCGGTAAACATGCCTTCTCGAGGAGAAATCAGGATCGTATTTAAAAATTGTAGTTACTATTGATGAGATCCATACTTATAATAATTGAGATTCATAAAATAAGTAAATAATTTTTTTTTTTTTTTTTTTTTTTTCATAAAAACCGCTCTTAATCACGATAAAAAAAGAAAAATAAAACAAAAATACGAAGACTAAAAAATCATTTTTAAGCATTTTTCCAAACTAATAATTTATCTTTATTACCTTTTTTCTATTTCTACTAATGTAGATTTATGTATACAGGGTGTACCAATAAAAACTCCCAGGCCGGATATTTTGGTAAGTAATAGAGATATTTTAATTCTGTAAAAGCCAGTTCACAGGGCACTAAGATAGCTTCAGTTTTAGATATAAATTGATTTTAAATAGGTCAATATGTAGATGGCGCTGCGCTCAATAATTATTTTTCGATGGGAGGATCTTTCTTATGTAGCGCATCTTGTAAAAAATGCATTTTTAAGTTAATTTTGTTCTATGAACTAATTCGATAAATCTAGCCATTTTTGATATACAGAGTGGGTCATTCAAAACAGTTTCATCCTGTTTTTCGGAATTATTCATTGTATTTTTGCAAAATGCTAAAACAGGTCGATTTTTATTCTAAATTAAAGACATTTATACAATATAGACATATGTCATGTGTCAACCCCCTCCCTTATACTTCTCCACACCTTAATTTTAAATAGGTAATGTACCATGTATGGCTCATCATTGAAAAGGTAATTTAATGGAGGATTCAGAAATATTTCTGTAAATTACGTTACTTAAATTTTATCGCCCTCTAGCGGGATAAAAAACTACTACGTATTGTAGAGTGTGATACTACAATGTGTAGTACATCATTAAAAAGGTAATTTTTATGGGGAATTTAGAAATATGACTGTCCATTGTGATACTTTTAATTGTACTGCCCTCTAGCGAGAAAAAAAACTACGTATTTTAAAGTGTGACACCTTATTTGAAAGCAAATTTAATTACTAATTCAATGTACCACATAACATTAATTAATAACAATATTATTATAAATATCCACATTGCACTTGCAATAGTTTAAAAATTAGTCATGCATTATTTTAAACATTATTGCTAACTTTATTTTGTTGCAAGTGCAATATGGAAATATTTATATTAATGTTATGTGGCGCATTGAATTAGTATTTAAATTAGCTTTCAAATGAAGTGTCACACTTTAAAATACGTTACAGATTTTTTATCCCGATAGAGGGCGCTAAAATTAAAAGTTTCGCAATAAACTGTCATATTTATGACTTTCCGATAAAATTACCTTTTTAATGATGTGCCGTACATGGTACATTCCTTATTTAAAATTAAGGGGTTGGAGAAGTGGAAGGGAGGAGGTTGACACATGACAGATGTCTGTATTGCAAAAATGTGTTTAGTTTAGAATAAAAATCGACCTGTTTTAGCATTTTGCAAAAATACAATGAATAATTCCGAAAAACAGGATGAAACTGTTTTGAATGACCCACTCTGTATATCAAAAATGGCTAGATTTATCGAATTAGTTCATAGAACAAAATTAACTTAAAAATGCATTTTTTACAAGATGCGCTACATAAGAAAGATCCTCCCATCGAAAAATAATTATTGAGCGCAGCGCCATCTACATATTGAAGTATTTAAAATCAATTTATATCTAAAACTGAAGATCTCTTAGCGCTCTATAAACTGGCTTTTAAAGAATTAAAATATCTCTATTACTTACCAAAATATCCGGCCTGGGAGTTTTTATTGGTACACCCTGTATGTTCTTTATATAGAATAGGTACCATTAATAACGTAAACTAATGGAAAACTTTTATAGGAGTGTTGACAGAAAAATAAAACAAATATACGACGATTAAAAATTATTTTTTTCTATATTCATGCAAAACAACAAAACTTTATTAAACTATATTTAGTGAAAAAACTGGTTCTTTGTTTATTTATATATCGAAATTTAATATTATTTTACATTTCTTAATAAATTATTATTTTTATTTTTCCTGTATACCATCTATTTTACAAAATCTGATTGTTGACACTGGATTTTCAAGTGTTGCAGAACTTTTTGTCATGCCTTTTTTTGGTAAATCTAAGCTATTAAATTTTTTCCTATTTGTATAGATCTTAAAACATAGATGAATGTAAACATATACAAGTGGCGTTTTGTATTATATTCAACATTAATTAGGTACCGTAAACTGGGGGTACTTTGCGCCATCAAGTGTTACTTTGCGCCATTGATGAAAAGTGTTTAATTCAGTATTAAAAGCTTAGACAAGATGTTTTAGAAGTCCGTCTATACAGCTGTGTTTTAAGTGTTGCCTATACAGTTCCAATAAAGGTGAAAATTATTGTTCTACGTGCAGTCTTGTATAGAGAAAGTAAAAGTTGAAAAGTCTTTTGGTAGGTAGAGAGGGAGTAAACGTCAAACCACGTCGGGCGGCTCCGAGAATTTCACAGTAATGTTTACCTGCCAGTGTCGTTTCATAGAATAAGTAATTTTAAATTGTTATCGGCGGAACCGGACAATCGCATGTATTTAAGGATTATAAATAATTATTAAACATGTATTATAATATTCAAATTATAATTTTACAAAATTTCAACAGCTATTCACAATTTATTAAACTATTTACTCGAAATTGGTATTAACATCTATAAAATAATTTTGTACGCCAATGTATCGCGTCCACTTTGGTGAGATCCGCTGCCAACCTGTCAATTTATGTGTATAAAGTGGGAGAACTGGCAAAAGCATTTCCAACTTTTACTTCTGTTCTACAATCAATCGAATGATAAACAGGTGTGCCAAAAATTTATTAATTTTGAACCATAAAAATTTTGTGTGTGCAGAAATTTCTGTTAATCTCTACCTATTTATTAAGTATACACTAGTTAATATTTTATTTTATTAATGCGTTTTGTATGAAATTATCCTTCATAATTAATTTGATAACTTACTTTTATGTTTTCTTGAATGAGCATGCAAATATCAAGGTATTTTGGGGTTAGTTTGGTCCGTGGAGCAAAGTAGCCCCAAGAGAATTAATATTTTTGTTTTAATTTTTTAAATTTGTATTAGTATTATGTGTTGCTATTACATTGTGAAATTTCACATAGAAAAGCGGAAGAAAAATATAATATACCTAGGAGAACACTTTTTAATAAACTAAAGAAGAGACATAAAAGAAAACCAGGAAAACAGCCTATATTTACTTCCGATGAAGAGCAGAGTTTTGTTAACTGCTTGATTTCTTTGGGAAAGTATGGGTTTCCTATAGATACAAGGGAATTAAGACATATTATCAAAAATTATTTAAATCGCTGTGGAAGAGAGGTAAAAGCGTTTCAGAATACTATACCTGGGCAAGACTGCCTAAGAGCTTTTTTAGCTAGGCATTCCGAACTTTCAGATGAAAAATGCTAAAAAAATTTTTTGACAACTTGCAGAATGAAATAAATGACGTTCCTTCCACAAATATATGGAACTTCAACGAAACAAACGTCACCGACAATCCGAGAAAAAGACAGTTCTTGTTAAGAAAGGAAGTAAATATCCAGAGCTTATCCGAAATGCGTCAAAAACATCAATATCCATCATGTTTTGTGGAAATGCCGCAAGAGAATTATTGCCACCATATGTTGTCTATCGGGCTAGTAAAATGTGGACAACTTGGACAGAGAATGGTCTTGAAGGCTGCCCTTACAATGTCAGTACTTCTGGATGGTTTGATGCAAATATATTTATGGACTGGCTTGAGTCTCAATTGATACCTAGAGTAAAAAAACTACAAGGTATAAAAGTTTTACTCTGTGATAATTTATCTTCACATCTAACTCTAAATGTGTGTCGCCAAAAGCATGGCGAAAAGTGTTATCTGATTGGAAGGACACTGCTGACGGTATTAAATATACTAATATTCAGAAAGAAAACTTCCTACCATTATTAGCAAAGATGGTGGAAATTATTACTCCACAAGCTGCAGCCAATTTAAAAGCCGGTTTTCGGAAATGCGGTATACTTCCATTAAATATCGAAGAGGTGCTATGTCGGATTCCTAGAACTATTCCTAATGAAACTATAGTTCATTTAGAGTTTCTCAAATCTCTGGAGATCAAAAGATCGGAGGTAACCGTTACAGTAAAACAACGCAGAAAAAAAATTATTATTTCAGCAGGAAAAAGTGTTTGCACCGATCAACCCATGGTTACTGAAGAAACTGACGAATTTATAGTAACTGGAGATGAGGTGATTCCTTAACAAGAACCAACTACGCTTGCTGTGACAAGAAGGACGATGTTGTTTTCGACGAAAACTCTTCAGATGATATTAATTTTGAAGAGCTTGCCAAAGAGCATGAAAAAGAAAACTAGTTTGTTAATTTTTTAGAAGGCAAATCTTTCTTATATACCAACGCCAAATTTCAGAATGTAGTCAAGGAAAGAGGACGTTCTGTGGTGTTTTCCTATGAAGGACAATTATACTCCGGAGAAATTGTTTCTTTTTATGAGGAAACAGTTACAATTAACGCAAAGCAAAGGTCCCTAAAGATGTGAAAATGGCTCTCAAAGCGGGATGAATTAACATATCAATGGTCCGATGTAATAAGACCCCCAAACAAATTTTCAAAAGAGGTGCCGTTTCCGTTCCGGAATTAACGAATTTCTCTAATTAAAACTTGTTTTTTTTATATTTTTTTATATAGGTAGTACCATGTGGATTCTATTTTTTTATCTATAAAGGATATGGTGTTGATTTATGATAGGTAGATTAAAAAGTTATATGTAACATTTGAGAGTTTTTCCCCAGGGAAAAGTTAATGAAATAGCTAGTTAACATTTCCCCACCTTGTTGAAAGACATACGTTATAACATAAAATGTTCGGTGGAGCAAAGTAACCCCGACCTATGGGAAACTTTGCTCCACTTTTAAATAAAAAAATTGGAGACTATAGAATATCTCTCTCATGAGTAGCACTATAGATATAGTCAATTATAAATAGCATAAAACAATGGGTTTTGCCGTGCGTCAGAATAGCAGCGCACATGAAGTTGATCCTCTGGTGGCCATTCTTATAAGAGGCTTTCGCCACACAGTAGTCAAAGTAAACTACTTTCTTATAAAAATATTGTTTTCGAAAAACAAAAACAAACACTTATATTACTAGGGTTAAAAAAATAAAGTGGACGGGATAATAACTGTTAAAATATCCAATTTTTTTGTTATTAGCAATTAAATGATTGGATCAATTAAAAAATTCTGATTCTCAATTTCAGATATTTCATCAAAGCACAAACAAAATAAAGATTTTACAAGACATTAGAATCAAGGAATCTGTGAGCCAATAGCACCTTCAATGTTGAGTATATATTAAAATTAATGGTAATAAAAAGTTAATAATAAAGAAAAATTATTAATTTATGACTTATATTTATTTATAATTTATTGACTTATTTAAATAATTTAAATTTTTTTAAGTACAGATCTTATCAATGGTAACTACAATTTTTAAATACGATCCTGGTTTCTCCACGCGAAGACGTGTTTACCGGTGCGCCAGAGTAGCAGCGTGTGCTTTCTCCTTCCACATGAAGTTGATCCTCTGTATGTACTCTGTGCTGGAATGTTTTAGAAAAGTTAAGAGGTTGGAGAAATTACTAAGAAAAATAAAATAAGGAAAAAACAAAAAAGAAGTAAAGGAAATGTTTATTTTAAGTAAGAACAGATGCGGACAAAGAGGCAAAGTAATGAGACGCGAAACAAAATTGGCAGAAAACAAAAAAAAAGGAAGTCCTTTACTCAATGACAACAGACTAGTAAAACATAATAGAGAGTGTGAGAGATAGTGGCACAAATGGAGTAATTTGGCTTAACTACGTCCTTTTGGTGGGAAGGAAGGGATATTGCAGTCCACAGTCGACGATGTATTATACTATTTATCTCTATTTAAAAGCATTGTTTTTCTATACCGTTCTCCTGGAGTTACTTTTTTGGAAAGTAAACGTACTGTATATTGTATTTATATTACCTAATTAAACCTAGGAAAGCGTTTTTTATCTTAATGCTTTTTAGAATGACAAAACTGTCGCCTAATTTCATTTATTTTGCGGATAGATTTCAAAGCTTGAAAACCTATTTGAAAATTGATCGTTGAAAAACATTTTTTCTAATTTTCACATTTAAACTAACCCTCTTCGAAACTAAGAATAATTATGAAAGATTAAGCTTTTCGAGATAGTTATGAGAAATCAAATTTTATAGACATTTTTGTTATTTATTGTTTCGGCCTTTACTTGATTAAAATCCATATTAGCTTTAATAAGTAAATGAAATTTGGTAGATTTTCACAAAATTTAGTTAAAAAAAAAAAAATTAAAATTAAAAAATTAAAAACACTACACATGACATGTTTAGAAGTACCACTTCTTTTTTAAATGTGACTAATTTACAATTCGGTGTCCAATATATATGCGAAGTAATTTAACCAAACAAAGTAATTGAGAAAATACATCAATAACATAACAAAATAAACTGACTATTTAAAGTAAATAAGGGTACTTAAGTAATTATGATATCAATCAGATAACAATAAGATAGTAACATTACCGGGATTATCTCACAGAAAACAAGGAAAGAGATTTAAAAAAGGTGAGTTATTAATATCTAATTGATCATTTAGTAGGTTATCTGAATTTTTAAATTTATTTATTTCAAGTGTTTCTAAATGGTTTAGTTTAATGCTCTTATTTTCTATATGTAAAATTTCAAAATTGTCTGTAAAAGAATGATTTTCAGCTAAAATATGATTTGATAAATAGAATTATATTTGTTTTTTGTATAGCTATTATAATGTTCGGAATAGCGCTTTTTGAAAGTATTTGACAAAATACAATTTTGGACAACTACCACAATTTAATTTATATACCCCCGATTTATTATTAGGGTTAATTTTACCTTTATTGTTTTTAATATACTTCCCAAGCGAATTATTGGTTTTAAAAGATACGTTAATGTTTTGGTTTTTTAAATATGATGATACCTTTTTACTAGGAGCTCCTATATATGTAAGAGTCTTATATCTGCAATTTTGATCTTTAATTATGGGATAAACTTGTTGAATAGCATGTTTAAAAAGTTTTTTCTGTAAAATGTTGTCTACTAACTTTGAATTAAAATTATTGTTTACTGCGGTTTGTTTAATGATATTTAATTCTTTTGTGAAGTTCTCTTTGGTAAGGGGGATATTAACTAATCTATGGATCATACTGTTGTATGCTGCCAGCTTTTGTTTGTATGGATGAGATGAACTATTATTTATTGTAATATCAGTATGTGATGGTTTATGAAATATCCCAAAGCTATGGCCTTTATTAATTTTAATAATATTTAGTCTAAAGAAACAGTTAAACTAGTAGAAAACTTATTAGATCGTAATCAAGTCAATATTATAATCAAAGAAGAAATCCTAAATTTATTAAACATTTGCCTAAAACAAAATTATTTTCAATTTCAAAATAACATCTACTCAGCAAATGAAGGTCTTATTATGGGGAACCCATTAAGCCCGTTGCTTGCAGAAATATTTATGGATAACTTAGAACATAAAATTCATAGAAATAATTTAAGTAAACATTGTCTTTATTGGCATAGATATGTTGACGATATATTGACTGCTTTTACTGGCACTAGTAGACAGTTAAATTCTTTATTAGTTTTTATCAATACTATACACCCTAATATTAAATTTACTATGGAAACAGAGAAGGACAATTCAATTAATTTTTTGGTTTTACTTATTTAAGACATTTTTGTATTGCAAGATGGTATGTTAATATTGCAAAATAATTAATCCCAAACAACTGTTACGGTATCGTTATCTGATCACCTGTGCAATTTAGATTACATAATTAAATCATATTAGTGCCTAATTACAAACAAAAATAATTACCTGCAATATATCAGTCCCTCCCGCATGCCAAAGTGGTCACCTTTCGATAATGGTATACCGCAGGACATGCAGGAAAAACAGTGAAGATGATAGACCAGATCTCTTGCTCGCATTACCAATTCGTTTGCTGATATTCCCGCGTGACATCTGCCGCACCTTGACACTGCAAACATTCTGTAAAATTAAAAAATATTACTATTAGTTTTATTTAAGATCTAAATTCATTATCAATACATTTTTCATTTTGAATTTTTTTACAATTTCACCTCATTGGCAAAATATAACGATTCACAATATTATATCATTACAATTTTAAAAGAACTGCGTCATATTGTTGATGTTTTTTATGTTGTAACATTTTGGCTTCTTGTCTACCACGTTGCATTTTTGTATTAAAAAATAATAATAATACTATGTTGTTTTATTTTTATAACATTTAGATGCATTGCTAATTAAATGCATCCAAATCCATCAGGAAATTTTCATATTTTTTGAAATCATAGTTTCATTAGCAATATCTGAAAAATTATATTAACTTGAAAGGACGAAGTCTATTGATTAAAAAAAAAAAAATTCAATATTTTTGTGATCGTTGTTAGTTGGAGATTTTTTGCGCAAAATATGTCAGTTAGTAACTCTTAGTTTCTAACCAACTGTCAGGTGGAATGAATTGGGACAGGGATTCTTATGTGGGAACTCGGCACGAAACGAATCAAATAGAGAGAGACATTACATAATAATAGCATTCTGTGGAACGAAGATAGTCGTCTCAACACTTTTCGTCGTCTCACAATTTTGTCTACGACCCACTAACGGAAATCTACAAATTAAAAAAATATTTTAGGTTATTAAGACAAAATAACTAATTTTAAAATAATTTGTGAATTTTACTGATCAATAAAATAAAATACATATGAAGAAAAAAATTAGTCACCAGCCGAGAATCGATCCCCGACTTTTCGCGTGGAAGTCAAGCACTCTGTCCATGCCTCTACGTCCAAATTTACGATTTTGGTTTTAATACTCGTAATTAAAATAGTTTCATATAGTTTGATTAACATTATTTTTTTTTAAATATGAACCAAATAAAAATAAAATTGCTATTATTTATCGATTCTATAAAAAATAACTCATTTTAATGTATATTTAATCTCAAATATACAGACAATTAGTTTGACAAGATTGTCACTTATTTAAAATTTTAAAAATAATAGTAGTTGAATGTCCAAAATATGAACTGTGATTGGTGGATTTAATTTTTTTGCCGTGTTCTTACTACCTAGAATGGAAACGAAATATATTTGTTCAGTTGAACGCAATGACATATTTTTTCGTTTTGTAGTCTATGCGTAGATAAGCTAATATCCAAGTGGGTGTAGAAAAATTTATTTTTTCTAAATTTGACATATAAAGTGACATTTTTTTGTAATCACAGCAAGTGTCAAAATGATCTGTTTCACGCAACCATTTGCATAATGTTTAAGATTATAAAACTGGTTTCGAAAAATTCATTTTATCACCAGTTGCGAAAAGAAATCAAATAAAAATAAACCTTTTTTGGTTTAAAATCAATAATACACATTATTAAAAGTTATCAAAAAAGGCAGATTAACTGATAAAAATAGAATTTGGTTACACTTACAACCTAATAGTAATTTTGTTTTGGTCCTTATTTTTAATTAAAACAATACAAGACAAAATTTTCCACTTTTTAAAAACTAAATAACTTTAATGAGCCATATAACACACTACAAGTCGTTCAGAATAATTAAATAATGTTATGTTCTGTCAATAAAATGATGCATATGCAACTAACAATACAAGAAAGTAGTAATATTGGTTGCAGTAATTTTCCTCCGATTTCAGTTAAACCTTTGTCAAATTCCCAAATTTTTCTAAAAAATGTTATTTTTCAGTATGATGTATAAAAATGGCTTGGCTAAAATCGGAGAAAAGCTAAAGTTCATACGGATTGTTATCTGCTATCTGCTATTAATACAGCAAATTTAATTTCGTCGCCATTTTTTTTAATAACAAAAATTCTAAAATACTGTACCAGGATAGAGTTATTCTTGAAGGCCTATTTAAAAAAAAAAATGACTGAAATCGGAAGAAAAGTAAACATTTTACAGGATGTTTCCATTCTAAATGGGTCACACTGTATACAGAGCATTGCATAAATTGGAGGCTTACAATTCACGAATTCTTCAGTGGTGCGATTTATATTCCTTAATTTTTTTTCTATTTGAAAGTATAAATAAAAATCTATGGAAACATGTATTAATTCATATAGTGTCATGTCCAGTGGCGACCCATGTTAGTTGTGGGACATAGGACATAGTATTTGACGCAGATGAAGTAAATGAACATTTTCAATTCCTTTTATGAGTAGTTTATAATTGCAAGCGTGGGCGTCATTACACAATTCTATAGGGAGGGGCAAAATTAAAAAAAAATTAAAATGTTTATTTGTTGGAAAACAAAGAAAATGAAAAACAAAAGAGAATTTTCTTATGATAGATTTAATTATTCTATGACGTCAGGGCTTACCTAATTCCGTTTTTTCTTGTTCAGAAATAACAGAAAATCACAATTTATTTTTTATTTTTAAACGAAAACCCTTTTGCTTATTGAAAATTTGAATTTCTGGGACATTTTTGTATAAGAAGCGTGTATTGAAAATTTTCTGTCAGTAACATAATAAAAAAAATATTTTCCAAAATGATGATCATTTTGACAGCTGACAGAAAATTTTCAACAAATGATTCTTATCCATAAATATCCTTAAAATTCAAATTTTCAATAAAAACGGGGGTTTTTATTTAAAAATTAAAAATAAATTGAGATTTTATGTTATTTCCGATAAAACAGAAGTAAGCCATGAAGTCACACACAAATTAAATCCAGTATAAGAGAGTATTTGTCCCAAGCTTTTAAACAAATAAGTTTTCATTCCAATATCTCAATTAACAACGAAGATAAAAGCGGATGAAATTATTAAACGGTTTGCTAATAATAAAAATGCTTAGATACGCCACTGATATACGGTAAATGGGTCTCAATGGGAATTTTGAAGCCTAAAAAGATTTTATATAGTTCGTACATTCTCATATGTTTTTCCATAAACGAATTAATAGTAACATATTTGGAAAAAATATTATCCAATATGACGGCCATTTTGACAGAAAATTGTCAAGTCACGATTATTATACAAAAATTTAAATTTACAATAAAAAAAAGGTTTCCTTTTAAAATTAAAAAAAATCTATTTTCTGGTCTAATATAAAAAATAAAAATTTATAAAAAAACAAAAAAATAAAAAACTCAAACACGCCGATGAACACAAAAAAAAAAAACAATAGGAAAACGCAAATTTTAAATTTCTTTTTTCTTTACTAAAAACATCGATAACAAAAAAATTTATTTTTCAGTCAGCCTATTTTCATTCATGACAGCGTTAACTATTTTATGAATTAACGGACAATATTTGCGTATACTGACAATACAATTTTTAATAGAGTTCGTAATTAAAAAATATATGTGTTAATTTTAATAATAGTATATGGATTTGTAAAACAAGTGAAAAAATTATTATTATTATATATTCTTATTATTTCAGCTAAAAAAATAGTATAATCAATAAAAATCAATAATAAAACAGGCAGGTATTTACGAGAAAATGTATGAAATCTTGCCTAAGCTTAATAAGTTGTCATTGATAAATAGATTAAATATTGTCAAAATAAAAACATTACCATTATATAATTACGTAGAATTAAAAAGTATTAACAAAAATAATTGGTATTTTTGTGATTGTAATTTATATTTTCTTCATTTTTAGTTCGAAAGAACCCATAGACATTAATGAAATAAAACTGGTTTTCTATCAATAAGTCACAAGATAGCATTACAGCCATATACAATATTCAAAGGCAGAAATCTAATCATTTCTTAAACATTTAAGATTTAAGGGATGTTGAAGAATATCATAAAATAAAAATTTATTTAAAATCTTTTCTGATGTCTATTATTTCCAGTATTACTATTATTATTACAAAAATAAAGGTTTTTTGTTCTTATTATACAGCTGTCCATTTATTTCTTTGATTTGATTTCGATTTTGCTACTGTAAATTTATATAATTTCGATTAACTCTGTCGTTGGTGGAAGAGCCATAAATAATTTTTAAACTACTTTGTATGTCTGGATAAAATTAACAATGTTTGGACGCTATATCATTAATGGATGGAGAGCTCATTGTGTGCAGAAAGCTCTTTCGTACTCCAGTTTGGTATTCAGCTTTCCAAATTTTTTTACTACTTTCATTTTCTAATCGGTGGTGAAAAAAGTATTTTTTTTATGTTTTTGGGATGAAACAGGCTTAAGGAAAACTAATAGAGTCTTCGGAAAAGCGTGATGTAAGCGACGTAAGGGAATCAGATATGCAATAAATACATTCAACCTATAATATTCTTTAATACTTTTATTTCTATGAGATTGTTGTTTCTAATGCATATCTTTCGCGTTATTGATTAAGTCGTACTACCCAGGGGGGGGGGCAACTGCCCCTACTTGCCCTCCCTAAGCGACGCCCATGATTGTAAGCAAGCATTTCTGAAAAACTAAAGTAATTAGTAATTTGCATAGTTTTTTGGTTGCCTAGTAATTGGTAATTGGTACTTTAATTACTTTGCAATGGTAATTGTGACAGCTCTGCCTGTAATCTTTTGAAAATTCGTTGTTTTGACGAATAGGACATTGTAACATTTAAAACTGTTCTAGAGAAATACAATTTACTCGAAAACTTTCACGTACTTCGACATGTACTTGTTAATTTTTTTTATGAGCTGCCTGAAATTGTCAGGCGGTAGCGTTATTGTTGTGGTCTTTATGTGAGCTAATAGAACCAAAAAATAACTAACTTTATGTGATCTTTAGATATTTTGCACATTGGTAAAAACTGTAATATATTGGAATAAATTAATCTTTTGAATAAAAGTTTTAAACTGGATATACATACTTTTAAACTAAAGTATGTCGGTCGGTGAGTTTTTACGGTAGATACTTGTACATGTCATCTAGAAAAATGTCTATACCTTCATCCTTTTTTAAAGAAAAAAGTTTTTTTATAATAATTTTCAAGAATTTAAGATATCAAGGGGATTATTCAACAT